GGGGGGGGGGGGGGGGGGGGGGGGGGGTTGCAGTTTGCAGATGGCAGAGTATAATGACAGAAGCCAGAGGTTTTAAGGGAGTCTGGAGGGACAACCAGGTGTGAGGAAGATCCTGCCACCTTCAGACGCTGTGGAGCATGGGGCATGAGGGAAGAAATAGTCACCACTTGAGAGGGAGCCTGAGGAGTGCTGTCCTGCAGGGCAGCTGGGTTTATGTTCAGAGAAGAGGGATATATAGGGGAATTTGCTGAAGACTGCCTGAGTTTCAGATCAAAAAGATTTGCAAGGTTAGAGAGGGAGACTGCATCAGAGGAAAGGCTGGACAGTACCCTAAGTTCTTAGCACCAGAAAAGTGACCCATTAAATTGTTTTGGTGAGGCTCAGAGCTGACAAATGCAACAGAGAGGTCAGTTGGGTACAAACTGTGGTAAGGCCAATGGCATGCATTCCTTCATGCATTCAATCAAGTCTTTTCCATTCTTTGAAAGACTTAGTCATCAAAGCTTCCCAGTGAGAGTACTGGGGATAGGAAAAAGCCCTAACCTGGGTGCAGTCTTCCCCAGGAAAGCCCTGGAAGGCCACATCTTCCTTGTAATTTCCACATTAATAATATTAGCCACTTCTAGCAATTTTGAATTATACAGTACATTATTATTAACTATAGTCAAATGTTCTCACCACGAAAAAATGAGTATGTGAGGTGATGGATATGTTAATTAGCTTGATTTAATTATTCCACATAATTATACATATATCAAAACATTACATTGTACCCCATAAATATCTACAATTATTGTTTGTCAATTAAAAATAAAATTAAAAAAAAAAAAAGATTAGTCTCTTCTCCTCAGGCCCCCTGGCTCCTGTGATCCAGGAGGCAGGATTTCATCAGCTGCCCCCAGGCCTGGAGAGTGAATTGCATCAGGCCAGAGAATGACTCAGCCACCCTTGCTGTTGGACTTAATGACTCACATTGCCTGCCCTCAGGGTGTCTAAACCTAGGTGCTGCCCCACCAGAAGTGGGTGAAGTCTGTGGGAACAAGTTCCTTCCCCCAACACTGTGGAGGGGGGTTGGGAAATTTACACTTCCCAGGACTTGGAAGAAGTCAAGAGGCATAGTTCTTCTGGGATGGGGAAAGGGGTACGAAGGTTATTTTCTTCAAGTCTTGGGAAGGGAGGAGGATGCATTTAGTGCTCCTAGAGCAGGGTCATCATTAACTTGTAGGCACAACTGATTACAAGCGTCTGCCTTCAGATTTCCACAGTCACAGAGCACCGGAAGGTGGGCTCCAAATCCAGAAAGATGCACTAAAGATTACAGTGGGGCTGCTCCCCAGCAGCCACCTGAGCTGCCCAACTGATCACTTCTCCACCTCTTTCCTTCCAGTCCTGGACGCACAATATCCAGCGAGAGAAAGAGTTTCTGCGGAAGCTGGTGAAAGCACGTGTCATCACTGACCTAAGCAGTGGCATCTGAGTGGGCCCAGCACGTGGCCACAGAGGCCTAGGCACTACCACGAGCAAGGAGCATCCACCGCCACCTGCGCAGGAGTCTTCAGACCCAGAGAAGGACAGTGCCAAGGGGCTCCAGGGGCGGTGAGGCCTTGGCAGGGCAGCCGGAGCTGTGCCTACTCAGAGGCCAGCCTCAGAGACCAGCACTCAGCCTCATTTTTGGCCTGGGCCCTTGAAGCCCGAGGGCCAGGAGGCTACACTGGCTGTGCCCAGCAGGCCTAGCATGCAGGAGGTGGGACATTAGGCGGCAAGGCTGCTACCGGAATAGTTTCTCCAATCAGTGTTTGGCGTATTATCATTTTGTGCATTTGGGTAGGGGGGAGGGTAGGGATAATTTATTTTTAAATAAGGTTGGAGATGTCAAGTTTGGTCCACTTGCCATGCAGAAAGAGGCCCACTAGAGGGCCCATCAGGCAGTGGTACCAGTAAGCTCCCTGTAGGGTGGGAGTGCCACAGCTAGCCTGTACCCTGCTTTGGGCTACAGGGAGAGCAGGATCTCATGCCAGCCCCCTTTAGCTCATGACACTGTTTAGCCTTTCTTGGGGAGAAGATGGGGTGTTCCCACTCACCAGCCTCTAGCTGTTCCACGGGGAAACTGGAGCCATTCCTTTGCAGCCAACAAGACAGCCCCTGGGCTACAGCAGAGAGAACTTTAAAGTCCAAGAGGCAAGGCCTGGTCCAGCCCAATGGGAATGGCTCCCCTCCCCAGCTGCAGCTGATCCACGGGACAGTGCCCTAGGCCTTGACTGACCAACTTGTCAGATGTTCTGGGTTTCAGCAAGGAGACTGCCAGGTCCATGGGTTCTGCCTTTAACCTGGACCAGCGGGCAGTGAGTTACCCAGGCTATGGCAGCCATCCTGGGCAGCCCTCATGGAAGCAATAAAGCTCTTCCCTGAAACTGGCCTCCTTTGGCTTTCTCTGACTTTCTTGGAAGCAACAGGAGCCTGGGGCCTCAGCAACTATGCTAAACCCAAGGGGCTTCTCTCCAGCCCACAGATCCCTGGGTCCCTTTCACTTCTCATGTCAACTGCAGGACCTTGCTAGTCACCTAGAGGCCTCTGGACTTCTCCTGTCCCACACAGTCCTGTATCCTTTTTGCCTTAAGAAAGAAAGACCCATGCTGCAAGTGCCTCCTAGAGGAACCAGGGGCAGAGGATTGGAGCCTACAGCCCTAGGACAGTGCCTCTGAGGCACCACAGCCCTAGCTCTGCGGGGACAGAGATTTCTGCAAGCACAGGAAAGATACACTGCCAAGCCCCCAGCACAGAAAAACCCACAGGCCTTGCCCACTCCTGACACACCTGCTCCGCCCTGGAAAGGACATGCCCCACCCCCACTACTAGCACATTGGCACACTTTCTCCCTCTATCCCCCCTCTCTTCCTACACAGAACTGGAAGGTACACAGCCCAGCTCTAGGCATCCTCTGGCAAACTTTAGAAAGGACATCCTCCCACCACCTCACCGCCTCAGAGCCCTCAAATCTGATCCCTCCCTTCCCCAGCATCCCCAGGCAGGCCTGAGAATGGACAAACTTGCACTTAAGGCCTTGGAATGAGCTTCCTGCCAGACATTGCTACTGTGACAGTCAGTGGGGGGTTAGCCCCCGCCCCACTTTCATGCCCACCCCAATCCAAGAGTCCAGGCCGCCCCAGGCCTTCCCACTGGGAGCCCTAAGGAAAGTCCTGGCCATCCCGAACACCACTTTCCCACATGCCCTCCTACTGCTGGGGTCTGTCCTCGGGCAGAAGCCTCCTCCCCTGAGGGGAAGCAAGCCCCTGAGTAAGAGACAGGCAAACCCAGAAACGGCCTCCGTACTCTGCTGGAAACAGGGTTGCTACAATGCACAACTCCAATGCACATATTCCTGCCTGGATGGTGATCCCTGGAGTTAGTGGTACAGGGCACAGGCTGCATACCTGTAAGTGGTGGCCCTGGCTGAACACACCCCAGCGAAGCAGTCCAACTGGGCAGCCAGTTGTGGAAGGCAACAGGGAGCAAGCTGCTCCCTGCAGTCTGACTTTCAGTCCCCACCACTGCACAGAGCTATGCTCAAACGCTGTGGTTCTGAGCCCCAGCCACACACCGAATCACCTGTGCAGATTCTGATTCAGGTCTTGGGTGGGGCCCGGATGTGGGTAGTTTTTTAAGGTCCACAGTGGTTCTGATGCATAGCCAGGATGCAGCTGGCCCACACACGTTCCCCGAGCACTCCCATCTCCACCCACATCTTCCAATTGTCAGCTGGTCCGCAATTCCCAAATCCATCACCAGCCCAGCTCTCTCCACTTCACTCCAGGCTACAAATTCAGCTGCTTCCTGGACACTTCCTCTAGGATAATCCACAGGCCCTTCCAACTCAACAGGTCCCACACTGAACTCGTGAGCTCCTGCCTCCGACCTGCCCCTCCTCCAGGGTGCCCCAGCTCTCCCCACACCTGCTTCAGACCTCACCCTAGATCCCCATCAGCCTCATTTCTCCACCTCTTTTCTCCAAACCATCTCCCCCACTGTGCCAGACTCATCCACTGAAATACATATCTGATCACACCATTCTGCTGAAAACCCTTCAGCGGTCCTGAGTGTCATTGGGATAAAGGCCAGACTCCTTAGCATGACCATTCCATCCATGTTACTCACCCAACTTCCACCCCACCTGCCAACTTGCCATAATTAGGCATCTGAAATGCTGCCCTCCAACTCTTACTTCCAGCCTCAGCTCAAATGTGACCCTCTCCTTCTTCAGTCCTGGGCACCCACTTCTACCAGTTATGCCCTTGCTGTGCTATGGTGACAGTGGCATTTGCATGTGTTTTCCTACTCCAAGCCCCAGGCAGCACAGGAAGTGACATTGGGGTAACTGGAGCAGACTCGGACCTTGAACACCCCAGCACAGAGCCTCACCAACTCAATGGGGTGGGTGAACCGTCTGTTGAGAGAATAAACTAATGGTGGATCAGAGAGCATGGAGCGGTTGCCGCGGAGCAGCCAGCCAGGACCCCCAAGTCGGCACACACCAGCACACCAGCAGGAGGGCAGCCCAAGGCCGGGACTGGCTTGTCCCCTCCCTCCCCGCCCTCACCCTCTCTCCCGCCCTCGGCCCGGCCTCCCAGCTCCCTACTTCGCGTGTCTACAAACTCTGAACTCCCAGTTTCCGCACCTCTCTGCCGCCTGCGTTCTGCATTCTCTGCATCCAGGGTCCCCTCCCAGCTCTACCCCCCACCTTGGGGGACCTAGCCAAGCCGGGGGGGACCGCATCCGGCAGGAGGAGCGGCCAGGTGAGCCCTGAAAGGTGGGGCGGGGCGGGGGCGCTCCGGGCCCCACCCCAGGATCCGGTGACGCCGGGGCTGGAATTTGACACCAGACGGCGGGAGGCAGGAGGCTGTTGAGGGATGGAGTTGGGCCCGGCCCCCAGACACAGCCCACGGGCTCCGCCAGCAGCAGGTCCCTCTGGCCCCAGCCCTCACTGCGACCTGAACCCGGAGCACCACACCGGAGGTAAGCCAGCCCTCTTGCCCACCCCCTGGTTCCAGCCCTGGATGGACTTTCCTGGGGCGAGGGGGAGCAGGCAGGACGGTCCCCCTCCACTCTTTTTCGCATCCTGCCTCTTCTGGGCCTGCAGCGCAGCTCTCCGCCCCTCCCAGCCCCTTTAGTCCCTTTCGTCGCTTGTTGGACTGTCTAGCCCTGCCGGCCCACTGTAATGTGAGGCTCCCGCTGCCGCTACAGGGCGCAGTCTGGCTGCCAAGGCCGCACTTTTGGCTAAAAGAGGCACTGCCAGGTGCACAGCCCTGAGCATGAGCCATCTGAGCTGCAGGGGAAAGCCCAGCACTGGTCCCAAGGAAAGTGCCTAGAAGAACATGGCGCAGTACCCCCCTGGTGAGTAGCGGGCTGGTGGATGGGGGGAGGCAAAGGCTGAATGACCAAGTGGCCCCAGGAGGCAAGGAGGGAGAGATAGGGCCTGAGCTGCTTTTAAGGGATCTGCTCCTGGGCTCCCCCTAGCGCAGAGGGCCCTTAAGGCTGCCTTGCCTGGCTTACCCTCCATCAATGAGATTAGTTGCTGGCCTGGCCTGGGGGGTCGTGAATCCAGTTAGCTGCCAGGTAAACACCTGGCCCTTGAGAACCACGTCAGAAAGGCCTGGGGAGCTCTGTCCCACAGGCCTTTCTGTGTGCAGGCATTCTGCGTGCTATGGCATGGGGGGAGGATGACAGCTGGAACCCAAGAGAAGGCTGGGTAATGAGGTCTTGTGAAGGCTCTGGAGCCCCAGAGGAGTGTTTGGGAGTGCCAGCCAGTGGGGGTTCACAAAGGCTGGCTCATGGTAGAAACTTCTAGGAGCAAGGCTAGTCTGCCAGATCCACAGGAGGCTGGAAAGGGGACAGACCCGAACCAGCTCTTAGGGTGGCTCAGCTCTCAGAGACCAGGCTGGTATGGAGGACTGACTGGTCCTCCTGGGAGTGGCTCAGGCCAGAGTCCAGCTGAAGGTATGGAAAAGCCCACCCCTCTTTAAGTCTGCAGGCTTGGCAGACTCTGCCCCCTGGTGGCCTTAGGAAGCCATAGCCCAGGCCTCATGTTTTCAGAAGACCCATCAGCACCCACCTTCTGCTGACTCTTAAGGGACATCTGTGGTCAGAAGAGAGAACTTTGGCAGCTCTGGGTCCAGAACAGAGATCACAGAGGAGCAAGGTGCAGCAGCACTGGGTGGGCAGCATAAACTGAGGCCTGGGCTTCACGGTCATCAGATGACTCTCAAAGTAGCCAGCAAGCACCCAAGTCCTTCCCCAGGCCTCAGCTTCCTCCCCTGCAGCATAGGGTGAAGGTTCCCTGTAGGAGCAAGGGTGTCCTGCTACCACCTTCTCCAGCCAATCCTGGCGGCTCCAGCCCTGCAACACAGAGCAGGAAGGTTCTGGGAAAAGAGGAACCCACCACCCGCTGTGTGGGTCTAGCCTTGGAACCTTAGGTAATCTCTGAGCTTCTCTGAACCTTGTTTGCTTGCCTGGAAAAAGGGGATTAAACCATTTACCTCGTGGAGTTGTGCAAGAGGGAATAACTGCAAAGCACCTAACACATAGCAAGTTTCTCAGTACAGCTACTTCTTCTCCTCCTGGGTTGAGTCCAGCTATCCAAGCCCCTTGCCCCTGGCCTGGAGAAACTGAGATGGATGGATGATCCCCTCAAAAGATAACTCACCTCTCAATTTGCAAGCTGCCTCAAGAGGAGTGTGGGGGAACAGGTCAACAAAGGCTGATGGGAGCTCCTGGTGTTGATAGACATGGAACTTGGACTTCGAGCCCCTTCTGCACTGCCCCACTGCCCCCGGTCTAGGCAGCGGGTGAGTGATTCTCCCAGTGACTCTCAACTGTATTGAGGAAAGGTGGCTTGATTGGGGAGGGAGAGCAGGACTTGGCCTGGGCAGGGGTCATATGTGGGAGGGGAAATGGTCAGGGAGGGGCCAGACTCAAGGAAGAAGGAGCAGGATTTCTCCGTATGGTCGGTGCTCTTAGGTCATTCCTCCCCTGGGCTCCTGGAGGCAGCAAACCCATTATGCTTGGACCTAAGCCCTCTCTGAGCTCCACTCCACCCTATTAGGAGCCCATCCCCTCTCTGATCTCAGCCCGAAGCCAGCCCCTCCCTGAGCTCCCCCCACCCCGAGCCCACCAGGGTGCCCTCTTCCTCCCTGAGACTCCACTTTGTCCGCGCAGCCTGCCCTGTGGCCAGCCCTGGCGGCTCTGGCCCTGCTGAGCAGCATCGCGGAGGCCTCCCTGGGCCCCACGCCCCGCAGCCCGGCCACCCGCGAAGGCCCCGCGCCAGTCCTGGCGCCCCCCGCCGCCCACCTGCCGGGTAGGTGAGAGGTCGAGGGGGCGGGGGAGGGGCTGGCCCAGGACAGTGAGCCTGACTCGGTCTCATTCCAGGGGGACGAATGGCCCGCTTGTGCGGCGGAAGAGCTCGGAGGTCGCAGCTGCAGCCTCCCCGGCCGGCACCCCCGCCGCCCGCACCCTCGCCTGCTCCCACTTGTGGGAGCTGGACCCCTATTTATTATTTCTAAGTTATTTATTTACTTCTGTGGCTTGTCAGATCCTTTGTGGGGGGATGAGAAGAGGCTGGATGGAGACCATGCCCTGACCATCCCACTCACTCACTTTGGGCTGACTCAGCAATCACGGACCTGGCCTGGATCTCTGACGGCTTGCCCCCACCCAGCAGTCCTGGGATGAGAGACATGGAACACAGGCAGAGGGGTTGGCAAAGGTGCATTCACTAGTCCTGGCAGGCCAACTCACACCCCCCTGCACCGTCCCCAGCACTTGGGGCCATGGGTTACCTGTGGGGAAAGAAACTACAGAGCCTTCAGTGGAGAAAGCCCTATCCTCGTGACCTCTGGCATCCTTGAGGTCCCTGTTTAGTGGGTAAAGTCACAGAGAAGCACACATTGCCCCACCCGACTCATTGTTCAGTATCCTGCCAACCAGGGAACTATCTTGAAGGCACCCTGACAGGTGCACACACTGCCTCCACTTGCAGATGGTCCAGCCTGGGAACTCACTACCTCCATTCCACGAAGTAGCTCAGGGCAAGACAGCATCTGAGAAAGGGCTGAGGATAGGGAAGAGGAAGCAGTGGTATGCTAGCTTGAGGTAATAAAGCACAGAGTTTCATGGTGATAAGAAGGCCAGAAAGGACTGAGGGCCCCAGAGAGAACTGCAGTTTGGGTGATGAACATTTATTCATTCAACAAATGTATTAAGCTCCCATTATATGTCAGATACCAAGCAGACACAAGGATACAGAAGTGAAAGTGACATGATCCCTGCCCTTAAGAAGCTTAATGGAGCCTTGTACAGGCCAGCCACCAGAAGAAAAAAAAAAGTTTGGCAAATGTTATGAAAAAGGACAGGAAGCTAAGAGGTACACACCTTGATCTGGAAGAAAGGAGAGGTCAGTGCTGACCCTGGCCTCTCATATTGTCCCCAAGTCATCTCCAAAAGGTCAATGCAATCCCCTGAGCTTTTCTGCATGTCCTTTAAAACCTTGTTTCCCAGATCCTAAACATTTGTACTTGGGAAACCTATGTGATTTTGGGAAATAAGATGAGGCATGTATTTGGAAAGGATGCTAAGTCTCAGGAACTGTGGAACCTCCAGAGGGTTTGTCAGGAGGCAGTGGGACATGCTTGCCTGGAGCTGCAAGGGGAGATCTGGGCTGGGTTGGTTTAAGAGGGGCCACACAGAGGCAGTAGCTGCAGCCAGGGTGGAGGAGAGCACCACAAGAGTGACACACGGTTGAGCGTGGGGTCCTCAAGCATTTAACACTGTTGACAGAAATTCCTTCCAGTCTACCCATGTGCCTGCTGCTTAGGCACAGGTGCCCCCTTCGCCCAGGCCGGAATGACGAGCTGGCAGAAGTTCTCTGAGGGCTGCGCCCATTCTGGGTCAAGGAGGAGAGACACGTCTGTGCTCCCACTCTCCTGTGGTTGCTGCCCCAGTTCGAGTGCTCCCAAAACTTTGATGCTTTTGCTGCCCTCAAACATCCCCTTGGCCCCTCTCTCTGCCTCCAAACTGATTCAGAATCCTCAGTTTCCACCTTTCCTCCCCAAAGAAAATGGCATCAGTGCCACACAGTTTGCAGAGGGCTGGTTGGGGGCGAAGGGGGACATTCTGTCACTTCCGGGGTTCTTGGGCCAGAAAGCGCCCTGCTGGAGAGACTTCAGAGCCTTCAAATCCTCCAGGCCCTGCCACTCAGTGGACATCACTGCTCTCAGCCACTTAAAGGACAGAAAGCGCCCTGCTGGAGAGACTTCAAAGCCTTCAAATCCTCCAGGCCCTGCCACTCAGTGGACATCACTGCTCTCAGCCACTTAAAGGAGACTGACCGATGCCATTTCTGACAATGCTCACAATGAGAAGGTCAGGTCAGAGCCCATGCCAAAGGTGCTGGCTCTTGACACACCCCAAATTGCCAGTTCTTGACGAAGTAGAGCCTCCCAACTGGAGGCTACATTCTGGGCCCCCAGAGAGCTTTTGTCCAACATCTCTCAAAGTCCCGGATGAAACAGCAACTTCTCCAAGAACTCATTCCCACAATAACTATCCTCAATTTGCAGCTCAGAACCACCCAAATCCCTCTTTAAAATAAATAAATAAACAAACAAAGCTGTTTTCCCCATGGGAAACAGACTGCAGACCTGCACCTTTGTTTGCAACATAGCTGAGGTAACCTGTCATGTGACCACATCAGGCAGCACACTGTAGCTCCTGAGGCCACACGTGGCTCTGGTGCCTCCATTTCTGACTGGCTGTTTTTACACATTTATAAAACTACATTGCCCATTGAGTGGTCTTCCCGGAACTAAGGCATGGTCTCCTCCAAAGGAGTATGAAGTTAGCAATTCTTGCAAGACAGAAACTAGGCAGCTTTAGGCTGGCCAGTTAGCTCAGTCGGTTAGAGCACAGTGTTCTGTAACACCACGGATCCCCATACTGGCCAGCTGTCCCCCCCAAAACCACAGCAAAACACTATAGGCAGTTTTGAAATGACAGTTTTTTCAGCTCCAGGGAGCACCTAAAACTTCCTTCTACATTTGTTTCAGTCAGGAATCATGGCTCCAGGGTCCATGTACTACCCCTGCCCGCAGCTGCCTGGTCCAACAGATGCCCTTTCTAATGACTTTCCTCCTTTATTTGTCCGGGAACTACCTGCCACCTTTTCCTTGGCTAGAGAGCCCTGTGACACAGGTGTGTGGACTGGCTGACTAGCTGAGGTCTCGTCTTGAAAGGGAGAGGTTGGGTAGAAAGCCAAGAGATCAGAGAAGAGATTTAGGAGAATTTTTGCCATGTGATCACACCTTTCTTGTTCACAGGCAAGAAAAGTCCTCAACCTGTTTTGGAGTTGCAGAATCCCTTGAGAATCTTATGAAAGCTAGGGACCCTCTCCCCCGCAAAAATGTTGAAAAAGTCACTGATATGTAAGTCTGGGAAACAATTTTAGGGGGCCATGGATTTTCTGAAGTTCATTAAGAGGCCCCTTTGGAGTCCATGGCCCCCAAGGTATGATGCCCTATTCTAGATTATTAAAGTCTCCCTGTAACTAGATTCTTTCATCTGTACTCCATATCTCACATCAGGACTCTCTGTCTCAGTTATTTACAACTATCCCCTTTCTTCAACCTTTTTCTATCTAAGATCTATTTTACCTCTGTATTTATACTTGCTCAAGTATATCCCATCATAAAAAAATTGATACTGTGATTAATATATATACATATACAGACACACGCACACACTTATGCTTCTACTTCTCCTTCACTAAAAGAGCTGTTGCTGAGGTCACAGTAGCCATTGTCATTACTAAAGCCAAAGGCCATTTCTTGGAGTTTAGTCCTTTGAACTCTGGGAAGCACTCAATTTTCTCAACTGTCCTTGAAGACCTGTCTTCCCTTGCTCTCTTGATCCCGCACTCTCCTGGTTTTCCTTTCACTCCTCCAGCCGCTCCTTCTCAGACTACTTTTGGGTTCCTCTTCCTCTCTCTGCCTCTTGTGTATTCCTCAGGACTCTGCTACTGGCTCTCTCCTCCTCCCATTTTCCTTTTCCCCGAGCAGCAGGTCTCTATTCCCGTGGCTACCACCTCCCTGCTGCCGATGCTCACATTTTACCTCCAGCCTAGAACTCTCTCCTAAGCACTAAGTCTGCAATTCCAATACTTCTTCCTGCATATTCTTGGAAACCTCAAGCTAATGTATATGTCCTGATGTCTTCTGTTGGCTCCTGCAGATCTGCTCTCCATCCTTCTCCACCCTGCTCTGTGCCGACGTCAATGAGCTTCCCTACTGTCCAGCTTCCAAACTGCCTCCGGCGTTCCCTCCTCAGTGAGTGCACCGATGACACAAGCCAGAAACTCAGGCCGCGTCCTAGACTTCTTGAGCTCTGTCACATCCCTTATCCATGGGTCACGAAATCCTTAGATCTTGTAGGTCCATCCCCTTTTCTTTATCCCCAATGCCGTTCTGTTGAAGCCTTCATACTTTTCCAGGCGGTTTATTGCTCATCCTCCTAACTGTTCTCTTTGTCTCCAGTCTCAACTCCCTTCAATCAATCCCTTCAATTTTCAAACCAGTAGCCAGAAAAGTCACCATTCTCTTAACATTAATTGAATACTAACTGTCATGCATTGGGCTAGTTGCGGGGATTCAAAAATCAGTGAGAAACATATTCTGCCATCAAGGAAATCATAGTTGGAGGTGGAGGTGGGAGTAGGGTTGCCAGATTTAGCAAATAAAAATATAAGACATCAAGTTAAATTTGAATTTCAGATAAACAATACTTTTTAAAAGTATGTCTCATGCAATAAATGGGACACACATACAAAAAAATTATTTGTTGTTTAGTTGATATTCAAATTTAACAGGGTGTCGTGAATTTTTTCTGGCAACTCTAGGTGGGGATAAACAAGTAAACAAAAATACAACCAGTATTAAAACACCAAGGCACCAAGGTCAAGGGTTTGGATCCCTGTACTGGCCAGGCACACAAAAAAAAAAAAAAATGCAATCAACCATTGTAAGTTCCCCAAGTAGAAGTGTGACTGGGGGACAGGTATGTATGTCAAGGAGGAGGAGGATTCTACAGTCACAAAGAGGAATCAGTTCTACCTAAACAGAAGGGGAAGAGGGGCCAGGAAAGTCTTTGTGGAGGAGGTGCCATTTAAACTGATTCTTGAAAATTGAATATGTTTGCACAAAGTGAATAAGGGGCACTGAGCCTGTGCTGGTTATTGTGTATTGCCTTTATTGCCTCTCAGCTCTAAATTCACCCTTTTCACTGCGGCTCTGTCTTCTCCAGCATGGTGTGGATCTCAGTCTTGGGCGGGGCTGGAGGGGTGAAGGCTTCTTCCTTAGGCTATCTTAGCCCTAAGACTCTGCTACTCTTATATCCTTTAGCATTCTCTTTCTTACTAGCCAATCCCTCATTGCTTCAATCCCGTTACAGTTCAAAATTCTTGTATTGAACTTTCCATGTGTGCTTACTGTGTACTTTCTCTCCTGATTGGACCCAGACTGACACATAGCCTTCTTGACAGAGGTAGAACCATGAACAAACGCAGGGAAGCGTGAAACAGCCTGGTGTGTTCCCAGGATTGCCAGCAATTTCATGAGAGGGTCCTCATTAAGACAAAAGGCTGGAGAGATCATTAAGGACCTTGAATGTCATACCAAGGAGCTTGGGCTTTGTCCTGAGGGGAGCCACTGAAGGGTTTTAAGTGGGATTGGTTAGAGATGTGTTTCAGATGGATCACTGTCTACTGTGTCTAGTATGGACTAGAAAGGGCAAGGCATGGGCCAGTTAGAGCTGTTGCAGTTAGTGCTTTAGGCAGCAAGTTCTGGCATGATAATTTAGGGCAGAAGCAGTATACAAAGACAGATGAGATGTGAGGCACAATACGCAGGACTCGGTGATAAGCTGGTTGTGAGGGCTTGATGAAAGAGATGGTTTCCAGGTGTGTGGCCTGGGTGACTGGTAAGGAACACAGAGGATGTAGTATTTTTAGCATGTGATATGGATAAGGTGTGGGGGAGATGGTGAGTTCAGTTTTGTACATGTTCACCTTAAGGTGCCTGTGACATCTTCACAGGGTAGGGAGGCCAGAGGCAGCTGGCTATGTGGGTCTGGAACTCAGGACAGTAGTCTGGGCCAGAGAGAACTGAGAGTCACCAAGGGAGTGGCGAGATAATGAGGGAGAAGAGGAGAAGCAGAGGCTAAGACTCTGGAGAACCAACATTTAAGGAACACGTTGAGGAAGAAGGACAACCCACTGAAGGAGACCAAAAAGGAGTGGCGAGGGTGGCAGGAAAAAAACAGGTTCACTGACAATTGGTTTGCAAGGGGTCCCTGAGCTTATGAGAAAGAAGGCAAAGCCCAAGGCCCGCTCACCATGGGAAGTCTATTTGGAAACATCTCTATGAGGCCAGGACCCCAAATGGCTATGCCGACAGTGTAACGGTGAACTAGAAATAAACTTCCCCTTCTCCTGCCTAACCTCTCTCCTTCAAACCAGGGGACTTCAAAGAAAATTGCAGCATCCAAACTTGGTGCTAAGTGGAAGAGGCAAAAATCTCCCCTGAGAATTCTTAACTACAAGCAGGCCCTCATCTGGTTTTGCAGATTAAATACACACCATTTCAGTAGGCTGAAAAACTTCAAACTGATCATTTAATTTTACATGGACATGGATTGTTAGTGGTTCCAGGTGACTAACAGAAGCTTCCTCTGCCCCTCTCCTGAGCTTTGGGTTGTTCTCTTCTGAATCTGCAGACTTCTCCCAGGGTTCTGGCCCCAATATGTCTTGCTCTTATCCCTCCGAGAAGAACACTTCTGTAACTGGCTCCCAAAGATTCATCCCCCACTTGGCTCTAAGCTATCCTGCACTGCCATCCATGTCTCCTGGAGATCCCCTTTGGTCTGGCCCCGAGAAATACCCCCAACTCTCCCCAAGGCTTCAGTCTGTCTGTCCCAGGTAGTATTTGTGAAGCATGTTCAGAAGCCATTATTGGTGTGACTTGGCTTCTTTCTCTGCCAGGGAACTCCCATGGGTGAGAAGGAGACCTGGATTAGAAGCAGGAAGAAAACTCATGCTGACCAAGTTGTGTCCTCTGGGCTGAACCCTATTCATGTATCATCTGTTTGTTTTTCCCTGAAGGAATTATTGTTCTCTCTAGGAAGAGGATAAACAGGTTTTAAACCTAGGCCTAAGTCCAGAATGTATGCTCTTAACCATCCTCCTCGCTGCCCTCCACCAGTGAAACCTCCAGCTAGCACCAGACCAAGGGTATTTCACACCCTAGGCCCAGGCTGGCAATCAGTTACTTTATTTTGGCTTCCTGTTTCCTCCTTCCAAATGTCTCCTGCCTCTATTCTTTCCTCCTTCAATTTATCCTCCATACTAGAAACAGATTTTTCTAAAGTGCAAATGCAATCATCATTGCCCACTTGAAACCCCATCATGGTTTCATATTGCACTAAGGATAATGTCCAAATTCCTACAAGTCTATTACTCCCAACTTGTCTTTCCAACCTCATCTTTGTTACTCATCCCCTCACCCTTACTCACCCCACATATATCCCCTTAAACTGAACATAAATTACTAGCTGCTCTTCAAACACTTTCTTGGCAAAGATTTGTTGAATGACTAGAGTCCCACTGGACTTTGCTTACCAGCTAAGTGAACCCCCTCCTCCCCAGGATCTCTCTATTCTTCAAGTGTAGATCAAGTTCCGCCTCTTCAGGGAAGCCCTCTCAGGCCTCAGCAGCTACTGCCAATTCCAGTTTTCTCCATTTGAACACAAGTACAAGAGATCCTTTCGCTTTAAGTTATCATTTTTTCTCTTCCCTGCTGGGGTAGCTGGCAGGAGTTAATAAAAAGAAAACTGGGGGGATGAGAGGCAGGGACTTCTGGGGCTTGCAGCAGACCAGATGGATGGCAGGTCTCTGCCACCAGCATTGTGACCAGAGGAAAGACATGCTTTCCCAATCCTGGGTTTTCTTTTCTCACGTGAAAATGAATAAAAATACCCACCTCACAGTTGTTGAGAGAACTGAACCTAAGGTATGCAAAGTACTGCTCCTAGCACTTAAGTGAGAGCTGCTTTTATTCTAATTACACATAAAGAGAAGTTGTTTCCAGGAGCCTTATGAAATTCCCCGAGCACTGTCCATGGTATGGTTTTTCTGGTTCCTTATCGGGTGGTCCCGAGAACCTTCCTTTTCCATTCCTTAGGCGCGCCAAGCCCCCTTTTCTCTTCTCTGGGAGGTGCTGACGCCTTCCTCCCGGACGGCCGCTTTCCTGAGCCAGAGGAGGCGCCTGCAGCTGAGCACCAGGGTGACCTGGGTCTCCCTTCACCATCCTCCAGCCAGGGCTCCCACCTCCAGCCCTTGGCCCCTTGCGTCATATTCTCCTAGGGAGTTGTGCCGCAGCGCCCCCCGCCGGTCTGACCGGCAGGGCCCGTCGGCCGCGGGAGGCCTGAGACAGGCAGGGCTCCGTGGGTCCCCAACCCACGTGCTCCCGGCCGCCCCGCAAGGTGCAGCCTTCCGGGGGTGCGCAACACGGACTACACTTCCCAGGGGGCGCAGCGGCGGGCGG